GGCGAGAATCATCAGGCAACGCATACAAGCATCTGCACACGAAATGTATTTAGAAATATGTTTTTTATTACTAAGCAGTTTTTTTTAAGGACACCAACTTCACCGGTATTGCATTTATTTTAAAGTTGAAGCAGCAGGTTCCAGGAGCTGTGCTGAACTTCACGCCTTTCGCTGAGAGCAAGGTAAAAGACTAAAGTCAGTATCAACATGTCAGCTGTAAATTTACAAACAAATGCAAGGAGTCATAAAGGAATAAACACTCACGGATGGCATCACAGCAGCAGGCTGCAAGCAGCAGCAGTCCCAGAGAGAAGCAGAGAGTCTTCATGATGCTGAGAGGAGGGATGATGAGGATCGTCTTCGTCGTGTTTTATCTGATATTGACCCATTTCCCCAAGCAGATGGGGAATACACTGACTCACAACCCAAATGCAGAATTGCAAGTCCTTGAGTACCCATCACTAGGCCCGGCTGGTTCTAAAATGATTTGCATGACATTGAGTGAAATTTGAGTATTTGATCCTTTACAGCCCAGCCACAATTCTGACTCCCACAGACTGGCTCTGTGCACGTGTAGGAGAGGTCATGAGGTCAAGAGGTCTATATTAATGACTTTACTGGCTAATAGTGTGTGGCTATGGGCTGTGTCCTTATTTACCTGACAGTCAAAGGCTATAATAATAATAACCTTGTGCTCCTGTACAGTTTAAAGGGGGACATGCTCACATGTCCTCATCTGCATATTCAAAGTCATTCTAAGAAAAGTGGGAAAAATAATTATAAAACAAATATAAGGCAGCAGGAAGTTTGAGGGGCTCACCGCCACTCTGATTGTGTGATAAAACAAGGTCAGCCAAACCACTCATTCAAGCCTTTGCATTGTCTTTACATCATTGTTAAGTCTAATTGTTGAATGTTGTCATTGTGGTTCTTAAATTTGTAAAGTCTTAGTTCAATCTATAGGATCAAGACATTCCTTTGTCTCTGACCACCTCTCCAGCCACTCTGTGGTGGGGGAGGTTTTATCACAGACACATCCCTTGTGAAGATTCTGTTTGATGTTTGGTAAGCTTCCTGCCCTTTGGATGTCTGTGAAGGTTCTCAGTCATCCAGGTCATCGTAGTCAAAGGAGCTTGCAAAGAAAAGCGTCTGGACTTCTTTAAGTTGCTTGAA